CGAGATGATCATGAACAAAAAAAGATACCCCCAATTTATCCTTATGAATATTATACCCCCTCCCCCCCCCTTCTCCCTCCTCACAGCTTGGCGGCCTTCCCCCGGCGGCAACAGAGAAATATCCTGGAAGGGCAGGCCGAGAAACTTGTAGATGAAGTGGAAACGGTCACTGCCGAAGAACGGCTCCTCCTTGCCCTGGGGGTTCGTGACCCAGAACCACGGCGCACCAAAAGCGCCCTGGTCAACCACCTTTTGCGTCTGCGCCTTGAGGGTGTTCTTGGCCTCCTGTGTCTTCGCGCCGCTGATGATACGCTTCACGTCGTCGGCGGAGAAGTGCTTGCCGCCACGGGGGCCTGGCACTTCAGCCAGCACTTCGGCGAGAACGGCCTCTTTCGCGACCTTTTTGTTCGGAGCCGTCCAGAAGGCCTCAAAGAGATACCTAAAGGTGTCCAGGAAGGCAGCCTCCCCGTATGTTGATTTGATGACATACAAGGCACGCAGGGGCACGACAGTCATCGAGTCGGCCATGAGGTCCTCGGGGGGTGCGATGTTGTTGAGGCCGACCCGGACAGCAGAGCGGTGGCTGTCAAAGCTGCCATATGTAGCTTTGGCGGGGAGGGTCCAGGGGGGCTTATTGCCGGATCCAGCATTGATGGCACCAATGAGGACGGGGTGAATGTCAAGCTGAACACCGTGAGCGGCGAGGCGGTCCTTATTCTTCAGGAGCTCCTCGATGGCGAAGTAGCTGTAGAGCGACGCTGGTTTTCCAACTTGTCAGTCGTGTTGCATGAAAGTGGCTTGAGAGCTGATGAGCGTACCAATGTCGAGATAAGCATCGATTCTGCCGCCCATCTTGGCTGTCGGCACTTGAGCTGCCCTGGGTCGTCTTGGGGTGGTGATTGGGCTGTTGGGCATACGAAAGGTATGGCGTGATGATGTGCTGACAAGACGGTGGAGGGGGGCTTCTTGCTCCGACTGTTGTGTTGATAAGGAAACTCAGTTCCCAAAAGTGTCTCTCCCCCTCGCTGTCTGCAACAGAGCAAGCCGATCAAGGGTGATGATTGATGGTGATGAGCTGCAATTGGTCTGAGGTCATGGTGGGGTGCACATGTAAGTGCCTCGGCTTCGATCGCCTCTCCCTATACCCATGACCTCCACTCCATCGGGGTTCAGTAATCATACCCCAGATTCTCACCATCTCGAGTTCCGTGCCGACCGGCTTAGGATTGCGTGATGATTAGTTTCGGGAGTACAAGAATACACACATGGTCTCTTTGCTTGCTTTGCTTTGGATTGCCATGCCAGCACCTAGATCTTTCCTGTGTGTTTGATTGAGCTCACAATCACACATCACCACGAATCACTCTTACCTTCCTCCCCTCATCTTGCTCCTGTACTGATCCTGAGAATCGAAACCCATCACCATGACCTCGAAACCCGTCGCCATTGTCGTCGGCGCCTCCCGCGGCATCGGCAGACAAATCGCCATTGATCTCGCCAAAGATGGCTACGCAGGTGAGTCTTGCTGAACACGACCCTTTTCGTCCTCTGGCCTACGGTACCGGTATGTCTAAGACCAACACAACCCCCGTAGTCGTCGTGGCCGCCAAGACAACGAGCGACGCCTCGACGGCCTCCCCCTTCCCACCCAATCCCAACTCGTCAGCCTCCACCATCAACACGGTCGAGCGCGAGATACGGGAGGCCGGCCACGAAGCCACGGCCATCGCCGTCGACGTCCGCGACCCGGCCAGCATCCAGCGCCTCGTCGACCTCGCCCTCGAAACCTACGGCGCCCTCTCGCTGCTCGTCTACAACTCGGGCGCCGCCTGGTGGGCCCCCGTCGCCTCGTCGCCGTTCAAGCGCTTCCGCCTCCTGCAGCAGGTCAACCCCGAAGGCCTCTACGCCTCGGTCCAGTCGGCGCTGCCCCACCTCACCGAGACGGCCGGCCGCATCGTCGTCGTGAGCCCGCCCATCTACAGCCGCTTCTTCCGCGGCAAGACGGCCTACGCCATGGGCAAGGTCGGCATGAGCGTGCTGACCAAGGGGCTCGCCATGGATTTCGTGCGCGAGGGCCGGGGCATGGCCATCACGAGCCTCTGGCCCGCCGTCGTGAGTTCTATCCTAATGATGCCATTTTCTTTTCTCTTTTCTTCTTTTTTTTTTCGGGTCAGCGGGAGGTCCTGCTGCTGACGGGTGGAACAGGCCATCGAATCGGCGGCCACGGAAAAGTTTACGACGGCGGATCCTGAGGAGGCCAAGGACCTGCGCAAGGCGACCATCTTCTCTGACGCCGTGCTCGCCATTGTCAAGGCCCCCGCTGAAAAGGTCAACGGGGAGCTGCTGCTGGACGAGGACTTTTTGCGAGACCATGCGGGCGTGACGGACTTTGCCAAGTACAACCTCGTCAAGGGGGCGACGCCGAGGCGGATCATGCCGGCAGAGCTGCCAGACATCAGGGTCAAGGAGCAGGATGACGAGGGCAGGCGGTACGACAGCACAAAATCCAAGCTCTAGATCTGGGACATCTTCAGGAGTTATCCCGGAGCAGCAAGACCCTCTGAACCTGGGCAAACACATTACTTCACACTTGGTTGATAATGCTTCAGTTCGTTCTGGGTAGATTGAACTTTTTATTGTTTCCATCTCGATCAGGCGGCAAGCCTATCCTGCCAACAGCTTATCGTCTGTAGCCAGCACCTTGTCCTCCACAGGCCCTCCTCTGGTGTCAGCGTATGGCTCTTCGTCGCCGCCTCCTCTTCCTCCGCCA